ATCCTACTGTAACCATCACCACCACGATCACCACGACACCAACATCCCACTGTAACCATCACCACCACGATCACTGTAAACACCAACATCCTACTGTAACCATCACCACCACAACATCAACATCCCACTGTAACCATCACCACCACAACACCAACATCCCACTGTAACCGTCACCACCACAACAGCAACATCCCACTGTAACTGTCACCACCACAACATCAACATGATCAATGTAAACATCAACATCCCACTGTAACCATCACCACCATGATCAATGTAAACATCAACATCCCACTGTAGCCATCACCACCATGATCACTGTAAACATCAACATCCCACTGTAACCATCACCACCACAACATCAACATCCTACTGTAACCATCACCACCACGATCACCACGACACCAACATCCTACTGTAACCATCACCACCACGATCACCACGACACCAACATCCCACTGTAACCATCACCACCACGATCACTGTAAACACCAACATCCTACTGTAACCATCACCACCACGATCACTGTAAACATCAACACTACCACTTCGACCATCATCACCACTGCAATCATTATCACTGCAACCATCACAACTACCATCACCACTAGCACTGCAACCATCACCACCACTGCACCCACCATCACAAGCAATGTAGCAGCCATTACCATGGCAACCGTCATCACCACCATCGCTCCAGACCTTGCCCTTCCCTAGCCAAGCTGACCTAGTACAGCTACAACACTGGCAACTACCTAGCAATGTGTAAAATTCTTTGCAAAAAGCTGGACAAGTGCAAGCTGGCCCCATCAGCCTACTTCCATCGTTAGCAAACTGATACAAGATGTCATTGGTAATGCTATTGAGCAGCACTTTCTCAGCAAGATGTTGCTCAATGCTCAGTTTGAGTTCTGCCTGCTTCAGACTCATTCAATCTTCACCAAATTCTGCACATAAGAGCTGGCTTCAAGACATGAGGCGATTCCCATCACCTACCTACCCTCAAATCCATCCACACCTTCTTCCTCTATCTCTCAATCCCACTCATCATCACCATGTATTTCTCCAACCAACCCACCCAGCTTCTGTCTGATTTAGGATTACCCACTATAACCACCTTCTCCCAGTCTCCCCTGATCCCACCGCCTCACCTTCTCCCCGTCTCCCCCGATCCCACCGCCTCACCTTCTCCCCGTCTCCCCCGATCCCACCGCCTCACCTTCTCCCCGTCTCCCTCGATCCCACCGCC